TAAAAGGTTAGGTCCCACATAGTAGCTCAAATTCATTAGTCATCATGATAATTCAGTAAAGTTGCTATTGTACCATGCTCCAGACACAGACACTGAAAGTTAAAAAGGCTCGGTGACTTTCATTAAAGCAAAATCTACTAAGCTCCAGAGCTTGGACTCTTAAAACTAAAAATATTTTAAGTTCTACCCTCATCTACCAAGAGGATCTGTATATGATATTTTTCTTTTTACCAGTTTAAATCCATTTTTTTTTAAAGAGGAAACACTTTTGTTTATTTTAATATATCATGGTTGATAATGAGTACTAACTTGGTGTGCATCGAGCAGTAAATCAGCATGTGATGTACAAGAATAAAAATGCAGAGGAGAACAGTTTTCACCAACAGTCTTTGTTACTAGATAACATTATGCAACTTTACCTTTTCTTTATGCATACAAGAACTGGGTTGTAGGCCATAGGTGCAGAGTGGGAGAGTATTCACCAGAAATAGAGTGGGGCACAGATGGGAGAATCTACTGAAACACACAGCTGAGGGGAGCAGTAAGATGGGAGGATCTACTGAAACACACAGCTGAGGGGAGCAGTAGGTTAGACAGTGTTGGGAGAAAGGTTGCCCGATATTGGGGGTGCCCTGTAACAAGATGGGTCAGCTCCCTGGCCAGGAATCTAACTCAGGCCGCCCTGGCCATAGCGCTGAGACTTAGCCCCTGGGCCACCAGAGAGGCCCCTCCTGCACCTTTACCTTTATCCTATATTGTTTACATTGCAGGCATTAGGTGACTCGCATTACAAAATGTACAGAAACAAAACAAATAGCAAATATTGCACAACGTTCCTGATAGATGAAGCAACAGTACACACTGTGTGTTCCAGTGTTTGTTGCCTAAGGATAATTACTGTTAAATACCTTAAAAAAATTTTTTTTTACTTTAATTTATGCATACAAAAACTGGGGAACAGGCCAGAAGTGTGGGGGTGTGGTGAGAGGATTCACTGGAGACTGAGTGGGGAGCAGAACAGGCAGATGGACTGGGATACACTGCTGAGGGGAGCAGTGGGAGAGATAGGAGAGGCCTGCAGACCCGGGGAATGAGATTGCAGTTCTGTGGATAGCTTCATAGTCTGTGCTTTAACCCCTTGCATCACCAGAAAGGCCCCTAAATACATTTTTCTATTAACTTCTATCACAGGTCAAGAGCAGGTTCTGAAAGGGAGATCTGTTAAATAGTGACTACCTTTTAAATTCATTACTATTTGAAGATCCTTATTTTGACTGTTTCCTTTTAAAGATGCCTGTGAAACTTACAGACTAAAGTACTTCATTCAATGTTGATTAGTTATTATATTACACAATAGATAAACCTGACCCCTGCTTATGTGCTAAATGCAAGTTTAACTAGCTACAAGCTCCAGGGAAGACACCACATACAATTTCCACAGTTCCTTTTTATCAGTTGATTGACTTTTACAATTTCCACAGTTCCTTTTTATCAGTTGATTGACTTTTTTGCTCTTTAAAACTGCCTTTTGAAGAAAAAAACTCTCAAAATATACATTCTTCAACTCAAAAAAAAAAAGTATAAAGACCAAGTAGAAGTCCCCACTTTCCCCTTCCTCTAATTACATACGTAAGATTTAAACATTCACTAGCATTTGCTACAAAGGATTTCAGAGTTTTATTATATATATGCAAAATGTATAAATTTTAGAAGTTCAGAATGTATTACAAATCTGTCTTGGAACATTTTTTTACATTCTGCAATTATCAACAGGAAAAATTCTGACAATACATACACATATCTATTAATTCTTGTTATCAGGCTCATACTGTTTTATTTTATGGATAGCTTATGATTTTTAAAAGATTAATTTATTTATGCATACAGAACTGGGGTACGGCCCAGAGGTGCAGGGTGTTGAGAGGATCCACCAGAGACAAAGCAGGAAACAGAATAGGTAGACTGGGGCCCTCCCTGGTAGTGCAATAGATTAGTGCACAGCAGTATGGAGTGATCCACAGCCACACTGTAGCATGAGTTCGATCCCCAGCCATATGGCGTGGCAGACTTCTGTCTCGCTGCTCCCCTCAGCAGTTTATCCCTCAGTACGTATGCCTGTTCTGCTCCCCACTCCGTCTCTGGTGAATCTGCTCACATCTCCACTCTCACATTTGTGGCCTCTCACATACATATGCATAAACAAATCTTTAAAAAAAAAATCTTTAAAAAAAAGAAAAGAAAAGAACAGGCAGACTTACTGAAATACACTGCAGAGGGGAGCAGCAGGCGAGATAGGAGAAGTCTGCCAGATCATGTGGGTCCCCTCCCTGTTGGGGGTCCAAGTCATGCTGCAGTGGCTGTGGAAAGCTTCACAGTCCTGTGCTTTAACCCCTGTGCTTTAAGCACCACCAGGGAGGGCCCTGCATAGCTTATCATTTATGCAACCAGTTCCCTATGGGTAGATATTTGTATTGTGTCTAATTTTTGTTGTCATGGCTTAGTGAGCAGCACAATAATAGCTCCTTGCTATTTAATTGCATATAAAGAGGAGTCTTTGCACAGAGGCTTTTAAGTTCCCCTCTATGATTCCATGGTGCCTTTGTGGATACTAGAGTGCTGCAAAGTGATGAGGTACTGGTGCTACTGTGCTCCAAAAACAACATCCAACCCCAATCCCGGGGTACAGCTCATAATCTAGGAAGTCTAGCTTGCAGAACAAGGTAGTCAACTGTGTCTCCAAACACCACCATCCTCCCCCTTCACACTATTCTTGAGGTCTCTTCTTTCCCAACTTAGGTCTCAGTCTTGGCTTCACTGCCAAACCAACCAGAAGCAGGAGATGCTGAAGGAATTCTGGCTGTGTTCTCTGGTTCTACTGGGCACTAAGCCTAGTAGGTTCACTGTTGAATCTAGTCCCCCATGGATTTAGGAAATATTCACTCATGAGAGCAGAATCCCCAAGTGAATGGGAAGGAGGAATAGTAAGAACATTTTCCATTGTGAAAAGAAACACAAAAGGTTAAGGAAACCTTTTAGGAAGGTTTTAGGAAACTCCTAGGAAGACAAACAAAAAGAGATCAGATTGTCAACTACTCAAGTTAATTTAAGGGAGGGTAGGACTGGAATAGATGGGCTTTTGGTTGCCAGTGAGGGGTGGAAAGATAGGGCAGAGGAATTCTTTACTTTCTGAGAGTTCGTCAAATGCTAGCAAACTTCAGAAGCTCATGAAATGGCAGATTTCTGGGTCCCACCCTCAAAGCTCTGGCTCTGTCCTACTGGGGTGGCCTCAGGCATGAGCATTTCATACACTCCCCAGGTGACTGATACTACTTGATCTTGAAGATGAAATCTTGAAAATTCTGCTGCTTTGTGATTTGACAGGTATGTCACAGATTTTTAAAAGTTGGGAAATAATCTTCCCGGGAGTTGTTACTCACAATTTGAGTGATATAATGAGATCTCTGAGAAGAAAAATAGATTAATTGTTTTGTTTACTTCTACCCTCTCCTACAAAAGGCGAGGAAGATGGAAGACTGAGGACGAAGGAGTTGCTTTCCTTAGGTCTCCCTGACATTTACTCAGAATGTTAAACCATGACTGATTCTGGGAAAAAGGAAGGCTCCGGCAGTGTGTGCAGGTAGCTGCTAGCCCAGGCAGGAGGCCTCAGCCCTCAGTCATGTTTGGATGTCAAAGAGGGCAAAAGGGAGCCCGTCTGGTTTCAAGTGATAGTGAAATGTTTTATATAGAAGACTTAATTGGTCACTCTCAAAACAAACAATAGTGACAAAAAACAATCACTTAGTTTTTCTTTCCCAGGAGAAAAAGGGGAAAGTTAGCAAAAAAAGAAAGGAAAACTTGGCATTTGTGAGATATTGGCATTTTGGCTCTTATTTTTTTTTTTTAGATTTATTTATTTATAATACGAAAACTGGGGTACAGGCCAGAGGTGCAAGGGTGGTGAGAGGATTCACCAGAAACAGAATGGGGAGCAGAGGAGGCAGATCAATGAAGTATACTGGTGAGGTCAGCAGCAGGTGGATCAGGGGAGGTCTGCTGCGCCATGTGGGTCACCCCTCTGGCCGGGGATTGAACTGCTGAAGTGGCTGTGGATAGCTTCACAGTACTGAGAACCAACCCCTGCTCCACTGCGGAGACCCGCTCGCATAGGCTTCTTTTTTTTTTTTTTTAAGATTTATTTATTTGTGCATACAGAACTGGGGTACAGGCCAGAGGCTCAGGGGCGGCGAGAGGCTTCACCAGTGACAGAGTGGGGAGAACAGGCAGATCAACGAAGTACACTGCTGAGGGGAGCAGCGGGCGGGTCAGGAGAGGTCTGCCATGCTATGTGGTCACTACTGGGGCAGGCGGAAATCGAACTCATGCGGAAGTGGCTTTAATTTCTCAGTGCTGTGCTTTAACCCGCTGTGCACCCAGGGAGGGCCCGCATAGGCATTTTAATGGAAACAGCTAACAAGTCAGTGAGCCCACCACATCAGTGGGGAGGGAAGAAGGCAGAAAAAGTGGCCCTCCTCCAGCCTGACCCTCTCTAGGCCCCACTGCAGTCCAAACTTGGCTTTATTTGGGGGCGGGAGGGAGGGGTGTTTTGCACATGCAGTGGAGAACCATTGACAAAGGACTGTGTCTTTCTTTTTGCAGGTTTATGCAGACTGAACGTTCAGTCTAGGGAAGCATTTCCAATCGTGTTGGAAAAACGAAGTTGTCATTACATAACCTTTGGGTATCAGCACTCAGAATGCTGGAAGTAGCACCAAGCTGGGGAGTCAGCCTCCCATGTCCCTGCTCTGACTCTGTGGTCATGAACTCATCTGCCTGGGGAGGAGACAGATAGTTTGTAGATGCTTGACACAAGAGGATTAGATTTACTGATCTCCAAGGTCTAATCTAATGAGATTAGAAGTTCAGTGAAATACTTTTGGTGAGTCAAACTGAATCCTCTAACAACTGAATTAAATGAGTCTGTAGGGATGCACAGTCGTTACCTGTCATGTCTCAGTATAGGGGTGGGCAACACACTTGTCAGGAGCCATCCAAACTCAGCCAGGGTGTGCAGCAGAGGGCCATAATCTGTTTTGATTTCACAGCCCTGTGTGAATAAGCACAACAGCTTATAGTCTGATGGAAAAGACAACCAGCTACACAGCAGTTGTAATGAAGGATGATGGGCATTCACTATCCGTGAAGTAGAATTTCACTGGGCTACTGTCTTCTGGGCTTCACTTTCTACTACCAATACCTTCTAACCACTGAGCAAATTTCAGTGGTTCAATCTGGGGATCAGAGTGGAGAGAGACTCACATCTGTCTCTTCATGTTTGACCCTTCCTTTAGTCTTGCTGGGAATCAAATACTAATGCTTGGAGAACTGGGACTTTACATATTTAAAAAAGCTCTATAGGTGATTTGGATCCAAGTAGTTTATAGACCTCATTTCCAGAAACAATGGTCAGGGGCTGGAAAGTAAGGACATGACAGGGGAGTGAAGATTGGGAGTGAAAGGTAAGAGATATTTAGATGGAGAATCTTTCTAACACTTTTTCCTTATTTGGAATGTATTTTCACTTGGAGCTTTAATTCTTCCAAATCCTTTTCTCCTCCTTTATGGGACTTCTGATTTCTGATTTGTAGGCCCACAAAGCAAAGGTGTCTGTGCAAGTCTGTCTGCAAGGGCCTCATACACACAACACAATATACCTGAATTCAGTCTGTCCACCTCAAGGGCAGTCCATTCGGTGACATCTGAATTCAGAGTGCACAACATCAGCAAAAATATCATCTCTGATTAGCAAGGACAATGCTGTGTGTACATATTGGCCTGGCGAGAGAGAGAACACCTTTTGGATATTTTTGCTTTGAAAGTCAGTTTACAAGGTAAAAAAGAAGTCACATTGGTTGCTTGGACATAGAACACTGGTTATTGACAGAGGTTTTTTTTTCACTTTCAGCAGTTGGCATGGTGCTGTGTCGAGAATTTCAAAGGGGACTTTGTTTAGGATTAGACTATCAGATCTTTGAGACTCTGCTGCTACTTATGTATGGATAATTATTTGCTCTCTTATATCAAAGTTGAACATTGCATAAAGCAAATTAGCTTTTTGCAAATCTGAATGAAGCTTGTGCATTTGTGATGAAATTCTGAAAACTGCACAAATGTGTTCTAAGGATAAATGTGTGTGTTAGGCAATAAAGACCTATAACATGTAAAATTGAAACTAAAGTAAAACTAAATGGTCAGAAAACTGGTTTACCTCAATAACAGTCCATTGTTCTACTACGATGGCATCATTTCCTTTCTTACTAGAACCTGGAATTCCAGAACCCTCTTCTTCATAGATAAACAAACCTTCCAAAGATTTGGGCAAATGGTCCCCTGTGAGGAAAAAGATGCAATTAAAATGAGTTGTAAATACTGAGTGTCTCTTAAGATCATTTACATTTAAGAATTTAAAGAATTGTTTAAAAGATCTTTAAGATCTTAAAGTTCTTAAATAACCCTTGTGGGGAGCTGAAGTAAAAGAATGAATCATTTAATAAACACCCTGTAAATAAATAAACATCAGTTTATTAACACCCTCTTCTTTTGGAATGTTAACTTTTTTGGACAATACTCAAACTATAAATATGAAAATTATAATAACAAAAATGCAATAAACTAATATTGTACACTGAAAAGCAAATGGATTTCCTGAGCCTAAACAAACATTTGGAAGTGGACTTCATTGTGAAATAAATTTTGTTTTTTGATCTATGTTATATGCATGTTGGTCATTAAGAGAAACAACAACAAAAAAGTTAATCCTTGAAATTAGAGATGTAACCTTAAATCTAATGGGAAATAAGATTACTTTAAAAATATAAATACAAAATAACTTTAACATAATAATGCTTAAAAAAAAAAAGAATAGTAACAGCAAGATCTAAACACAAGTCATTGTCAAAAGAATTCCTGCTGGGAAGGAGTTTTAAGGGAGAACCTCTCTTGCTTTTTCTTGAATAGCTGACAACAACCAGCTGGCCCAAACTAAATTGATTTTATGGAAGTTCTTTTGTCTTCTATTTTGTATTGAGACAATTTTCTCATGGTTGTATGCTGGTTAAACAGTTTTGTTTTATATAGCACAAAATCACATCAAGGCTGATAGTTATCTGTCAGCCTGTAGACAGTTCTAAAGGCCTACAAAATCTTTAAATGATTTATTAAGCTAAAATGTAAAAAAGACAAAAGTCAATTCAAGGTAATTTCAGTTTTAATTTTTATTAACAGCTTGTAAGCTTTAAGAGAATATAAGTTTTAGGCCCTCCGTGGTGCCCAACAGGTTAAAGCACTATGAAGCTATCCAAGGCCACTGCAGCATGAGTTTGATCCCTGACCAGGGATGGCATGGTTGACCTCTCTTGACCCACCCCCTGTTCCCCTCAGCAGTCAACCTGCTTCCTGTTTTGTTCCCCATCTGTCTCACCACCACCACCCCCATACCTCTGGCCTGCACCCCAGTTCTTGTATGCATAAATTAATAAACCTTTAAAAAAAGAGTGAGAAAATAAATTCTATTACTTTCACATCACATACAGGAGAGTATGATGAAGAATTTACATTGTTCAGAGCAGTTTCCAAGAATCCAGTAAGTTTTCTGTATTATTTGGAATTGTTCTTTTAAAAAAAAAAAAAAGATTTATTTATGCATACAGAACTGGGGTATAGGCCAGAGGTGCAGGGTATGAGAAGATTCAGCAGAAACAGAGAAGGGAGCAGAACAGATAGATTGACAAAGTACACTGCTGAGGGGAGCAGTGGGCAAGATGGGAGAGGTTTGCCGCGCCATATGGGTCACCTCCCTGGCCAGGGATGCAGTTTCTAGTGCTGCTCTTTAACCCATTATGCCACCTGGGAGGTCCTGAATTGGTTTTCCAATTAATTTCGCTGTACTTGCCCATCAGTGACTAGTGGAATCAAATCTGCTTCTGATTATCAAATTAGGGCATCACTAGATAATGTTCATATTGTACATGCCCCAGATCCTTTTAAAAAATGATCACATGCTGTGTGATTATGTAGTTAATTGTATTCTGCCTCTTAATTAGTTTGGGATCATAGAGTGGGAGAACCATGGGTTTTGTGGCTCTGTTTAAGAGCCAAGTTTATGGCTCCAAACCTCTTTCATTTAAAAGATTGAAGAGTGGTGACTCATTCCATGTGATAATATATTACACAAGGTAAAAAACCTCACTGCTATGCAATAACCAGCAAGAATTTCAGTGATAGTATGTTGAGCAAAGGAGCCAGATACCAAAGAGTACATTCTGTATACCTGACGCGAAGCTCAAGAACAGGCAACAGTTATCTTTAGTGATGAAAGTCAGAGAAGTTTTATTTCCGATTTGTAAGACAGTGACTGGAAAGTGTCCTACAGAGGTTTTTTGAAATATGGAAAGTGTTCTATAACTTTGTTTTGTTTTTGTATTTCTTCCCCCTCCCTCAGCTTTACTGAGATATAACTGAGATATTTTTCCAGTTTTATTGAGAAGTAATGGACAGATAAAGACATGTTCTCTATTTTGAACACGTGTTCTATTCGGCTATTCACAAAGATTCATGCACTTTACTGTCTGCATGTTACTCTTCAGTTAAAAGCAAAAGAGCATTCTTCTCACTTGAGAACGCCTCGGGGCCCCTGGCTGCCTTTCTTAGGGACTGTGACAATTCCCAGAGCCACAGAAGTTTGACACTTGCCCGGAAGAGAGCACTTAAGATTTCTTGAGAAATTCGGCCTAAGAAGTGCAGCTAGGGAGCGTGGCAAGAATTGTCTCCTGGGGAAGTGACCGTTGTGTCCAGGTAATGGGGAGTGAGGTGATAATTCTGAACAATTTCTTTGTCAACTCTTCTGTAGCCTAGAGCTTCACAACTAGGATTTAGTGGCCCACTTGTGTGTGACTGGGTTGCAGATGTGCCAAGATCCAGGGCGCCCCCTCCTGCCCACAGAAACTCTCTACTTTAGTTTTTAGCCCTGCAACATTATCATGTTCCATGTGGCCTGGGTATCTATGCATTTCCATGCATAATAGAAGAAGTTACAAAGAGTGGCCTAGCCCACTGCTTTTCGCTTTTTTCCCCTTTAGTCAAATAAGACCATTCACAAAGAAAAATACATTTATATACTTGTTAGGTGATCTCCAGGTATAGTTTGAAGTGATGCATTGCAGACAAAAAAATTTTTAAGCCTAATATTACATCTTAAAAATCCATATACAATTGTACACATTTTGTATTCTTTTAAAATACATTCATGTGGTGCCCTCCCTGGTGGCACCACAGGTTAAGGTGCAGCACTATGAAGCTACCAGCAGCCACTGCTGCAGAGTTCAATCCCTGGCCAGGGGAGTGACCCACATGGCGTGGCAGACCTCTCCTGACCTACCTGCCTGTCCCCTCAGTTATTCTGTCTGTTTTGCTCCCCACTCTGTCTCTGGTGAATCCTCTCACTGCCCCCACACCTCTGGCCTGTACCCCAGTTCTTGTAAACATAAATAAACAAATCTTAAAAAAATACATTTATGTTATGGAAAAAGTAATGTTCTCTTCTCTCCCCTTTCCTATCCTCACCCCTTCCACCAATATTAAAGCACTATGGACACTCTAGGAAGAGAGTTTTCCTGGGAACCTGTGCGCTCCCTGGCACTAAGCTGCACACACCTAAGGGCCCAACAATTTCAAGGTTTCCTGAGGAATGATTTACTTGTCTGGACATGTGATTTTGCACATTTTCAGCTAGCTATGATGAAATTCCTATACATGTGAGGAAAGGTAACATTCCATTTTAGTGTTTTCAGACCACAAGTCATCTTAGCTTCAAACTACCCAGACGTGGCCCCATCTCTGGAAAGTAGATGGACGATAACTATGGGAGCTCTTGGCATCTCTATCATGTCTGTCTGTCTTGAAAATCAGTCTCAGCCTGTCTGCTTCCCCATCTCCTCCACAGCGGCCGTAAGGACCATGACCACAGCCTCCCACTTCTCCTCTTGCCCTGGCTACCTCCCAAAATGAGGTCAGAGAGGTTCTTTCAAAATTGCACATTAGGGCTCTCCCTGGTGGCACAACAGGTTAAAGCACCGCACTATGAAGCTCTCCTAAGCCACTGCAGCATGAGTTCGATCCCTGGCCACGGAGCTGACTCACATAGTGTGGCCGATCGCTCCTGACCCACCTGCTGCTCCCCTCAGCAATGTACTTCGTTGATCTGCCTGTTCTGGTCCCCGCTCTGTCTCTGGTGAAGCCTCTTGCCACCCCTGAACCTCTGGCCTGTTCAGTTCTATAAGCAAAAATAAATAATTCTTAAAAAAAAAAAATTGCACATCAGGTGAAGAAGATCCCCCTTTAAAATCTCCAGGGAGGGACTTGAAATCCAAATTTGTAAGGTGGCATATTGGTTAAGTGCACACACTTCACCTAAATACCTCACTGCCTTCTAGTTGTGTGACAATGGGCACATTATTTAACTTCTTTGTCCTTACCTCTGTCTTCTCTGGAAAAGGGGGAAAATCATACCTTCTCATGGGGCTGATGTGGTGAGTAATGATTTTAGTATAAAGTGCTTAGGACGATGCTGGCATAGAGTAGAAACAGATGTTAGTTCTTGTATGTATAAGACCCTGCGAGGAAGGGCTGCTGCTTATCTCTCCTACCTGCGCAAAAAAAAAAAGCTGTTCTTTCTTGCACATGCTGCTCCAAAACCTTCCCCCAGTGACTCTTACACATAGCAGGGTTTTGTATGTTTAGAGATATTTCATCTACTCTGACCTGGCACTTGAGTGCCTGTTCCTTTCCAGCCTTCCAGTCTCCGTGTGACTGTCACCTTGTCAGACAGGACATTCTGACCATCCTCTAGATAGGTTCTTTCCTGTTACTCTCATGACACTCCCTGTTGGGGGAGGGGGTGCATCACAGTGCTTTCTCAATTTTGAAATTAGATAGATATGTGTGTTAACAACTGTTACTGACAGACCATCTAGGGGAGACATCCATTTCCTTCACCATTGTACTCTCAGTGCATGGCCTGGGTCCTAGCATATACAAATATGTGAAATGAATAAATGCCTATTTCAATGTCATTACAATATCACTTCTCATTCTGATATATTGCCACCACCAGTTCTACACAATGTTTAAAATTTCATTTTATTAATTAAAATTTCATTTTATTTATGCAAAGAGGAATTGGGGTATAGGCCAGCGGTGCGGTGGGTGAGAGGATTCACCAGAGACAGAGTGGGGAGCAGAACAAATGGATCTACTGAAATACACTGCTGAGGGGAGCAGCAGGCAAGACAGAAGAGGTCTGCTGCATGGTATGTGGGGTAACTCCCTGGCCAGGGATTGAACTCAGGCCACATCGGTAATAGCTCTGAGACTTAACACCTAGGCCACCACAAGCATTTTTTTTTAAAGTTTGATTGATTGATTTATGCACACAAGAATTGGGGTACAGGCCAGACACAGAGGGAGTGACAGAGTGGGGAGGAGAACAGGCAGATCCACTGAAATATACTGCTGAGGGAAGCAGCAGGCAGGTCAGGAGAGGTCTGCTGTGCCACGTGGGTCATCTCCCTGGCTGGGGTTGAACTTGGCCTTCTGCTACAGTGACCGTGGTTAGCTTCACAGTGCTGTGCTTTAATCTGTTGCACCATCAGGAAGGGCCCCACAAGCATTTTTTTATAGGGTTAAAGTGATACAAAAATTAAGTGAAGTGTGAAAAGCATTCATGAAAATCAAAATGTAACTGGAAGGTAAATGAAGATCAGTCAGGCTTTCGTGCCTCAGCCTCCATGGTCACCACCTGTGGCCTTGAATGCACTATGTGCTGGGAGAGTGGGCTTGGGATACGCGTGTCTGATGGCGGACACCTGGAGTAAGGTCGGGCGTGCCTAAGTGAGCACACCTGAGCTGAGCGACTGAGCCTATAAGGGCGGCATCACAGAGCAGGGGGTTTGTGGAGGACGAGGCGGAGGACAGCTCATGAGAGAACATCAGAGCCCAAAGAGTAAAGAGTCGCTGGGGCTGGGAGGCCTGCCAGGCTCCGGGCCCCCGGCAGCCCCGCAGGCCTACACCTGGCTGCCGCATTACAGGTGGTGTAGAAAGATCGTTAAAAGCCTGAAGATGCCACCGAAGGCTCTGGAACTTTCCTCTACCCATCTGCCCGATCACAGAGAACCCATCCTGTTGCCTGTCTGCACTACAGCAGCCCTGAGATGTGGGTGTGCTCAAGGTAGGGAGAGACTGCTGTGTGGACAACGTGGTCATTTACAGGCTAGTGAAGTGTGTGCATGTGTTTTGCTCCAGCTGCCAAAGCTGCTCATCTCCTCCCATGTCAGCTGCCTGCTGGGTCTCTACCTTCTGCTTGAATAAGGCCCAACTGGGCAAGCCTCTTGGGTCCCTTGAGAGGTTTGTTTTTACCTCTACAAACCCCAGGTAGGTGAATTCAGCTAAGAGCTGCTTTGGTGCAGGCCCAGCAAGGACAGTGAGGAACATACAGGCTGCTGCTGTGGTGAGAACCATCAAGACAGAGGCAGGGCCTCGGGCCTCTCATGGGGCATTTCCAAGCAGGGACTTTGAGAGTGAGTGTGAGCAGGCACGGGACAGGGATTTCATACTTTTACCCTGCGATTTCATACTTTTACCCTTTACAGCTTTGCCACCATGATCCTGCTGAAATAGAAGACTTTTAAAAAGTGTTTTTTTTTTTTTTTTCGCCCCTCTGTGTTTCTGGAGTAAAATGAGATTTGTGGAATAATCTATTTAAGTCTCTGAGTAATGTATGGTTTTGTATTCTATTCCCTGTGGTGGGCTAACTTCTGACAATATTTTGGAAGAGGATGGAAGCAAGATGAAACAAAATATGTATTGTCTCCATGTGCTTTAGATGTCAGCCATCAAATATCCCCAAACAAAGTGACTGATTCAGCCCAGCTTCCTCTGACTTGCTTCTCAGTGACACAGGCATTTGTCACCATTTCCCCTCTCAGCTTCTCTGTGCACTCCCAGGAAAGTCCCCAGTGACACACCCAACTGCTAGACCCCAAAGACCACAGTGGCTTGGTGGTGGCTCGTTAGGGACTTGGCATGGCCTGCCATGTAAAATGTCTAATGAGACATTCCAGAGTTGTTGAGAGGGAGGGAGTCTCCCCCCAGGCGCTGTAAATAGCTTCTGAGGCTTTAAGAACAAAAGCCCCACAGAGCCTCTGGCTGGCAACTGCTGTGGCTAATTTTATTTTCATCAGGCAAGGCCCAAGGCAGGGGTGCCTGAAAGTGATTATGAAAGGAGTATTTTTCCTTCAGTAGCTAGTCACAAACCAAAGAGGGAGAGGGAGGGAGGGAGGCAGGGGAGACTTAACAGGGTGGTGGTGGTGGTGGGGCAATGGAGAAGCAAGAACTCACCTCTAAATAGGTGACACATATTAAAAGTGTTGTAATGGTGCAAAACAAATGGCAGGAAAGAAAACTAATAGACATAATGAACAAATATCTTAAAAAATAATCACAGAATGAACAGGGACTGTGAAAAAGGTCGTGTGGTAGTTGCTTTTCACAAACTATAGCTCGCTAAATTCTCACAACAATTAAGTAAGAGTATTTTTATCCTCCGTTAGGAAACTGAGTGAGCTCAACTAACTTCACCAGAAAACAGCTAATAAATAAAAGACAGGGTTTATGAATGTCTTGATTCTGAAGCCCCTGCTCTTCCTGTCAGATTGTGCTATAAATGACCACCTTATGGGACATTTCCAGCAACCAAAAAGAAAAAAAAAAAAAAACTAGCAGTGTTTATGGAGTCCTGTGATGTGGCCAGCACGGTGCAAGGGGTTGCCAGAGAGGCTTGACCCTTAATCTTGGTGGCTTAGTTAAGGGACCTATTGGTACATGACTCCTGATAATTTAAAATATTCAAAGTCTTTAGATGTAGTAAAGTTATCACTAGGCTAACTGAATAAGGAAATATATAAAAATCTTACTTGTTTCTTTATTTTTTTCTCTAATCTCACTACTGGTTTCATGTCTCCGTTCCTTTTAATGCATTTTCCCCCACTCTCCTAACTATTTGTTTTTTCTTTCACCACTATTTTCTTTTCTTCAATTTCAAACCTGAGGTACAATGGACATATAACATTATATGAGTTTCAGATGTAAATAATTTTTCTGAAACACCTTTCCTAGAAAATAATTTTTGGAGAGTTTTATTTTTGGTTTTGTGACTGACATGAATGTGCACAAATCCACTGTAAGTGAAAGAGGAATATTAAAGAAATTTGACATAATACAGAGACAGAATTATTTTCTGAAGGAAAGATTACTTTTTCTTTTCTTTTTTTCAATATTTATTTATTTATGCATACAATAACAGGTGTAGGCCAGAGGTATGGTGGGGTGAGAGGATTCACCAGAGATGGAAGGTTGCAGAACAGGCAGATGGACTGAAATATACTGCTGAGGGGAGAAGAGATCTGCTGCACCATATGGGTCACCTCCCTGATTGGGGTTCAAACTTGTGCCGCAGTGGCTACTGATAGCTTCATATAGCTGTGCTTTAACCCTTTGCAACACCAGGGAGGGCCCCAAAGATTACCTTTCTAAAAAAATTTTAGAGAGTCAGGTATAGACTAGAATACATGGTTGGTACTGTCCAAAATTGGGATAATGTGATAAATATTGATGTTAATTGGCAAGTGACATCATAAGCCTTCTGATCAGGCTGTTGTAAAACATCTTATTTGGAATATTCTGCTCAACTATTACAGTGTTGGTTTATTACTGATAGTAACAACACAATCGTAAACATTATATTATATAATTCTACCACACAGGGTGGTAAAACTTTAAGATTAAAGTTACACTATCTGTAATGATGCAAATCTATTTCCTTAGGAATAATATCTGTCCTCTCAGCCAGAGAATTTGAGAGTCTACAACATTTCATCAACACTGACTTAAAGTCAAATTTTTTAACCTGTCAATAGATAATATAAAACTTACCTTTAGAAGTTTCCCAGCATACAAAAGAATCAATTAAAGACAAGCCCTGCTTGTAGTAAAATGTAGTTAACTCCAGCCAATCAGCATCAAGTGTACTAATGACAGATCCTTTTCTTGTTACTTTCATTGACAGGATGCCTTCCTGGTAGGTCCAGTTGGTTAATTCATCATCAAAAACATTGAAGACTGTGTAAAACTTATTATCTGAGGGTAGACATTGAGAAGCAAGAAAAAAGGGGAAAACTATAATTTTATTGAAAAGATTCTTTAAAATCTTTTAAAAGTTAATTATGAACTCTTTCAAGTATACAAAAAAGCAAAGAGGATAATAAATTACCCACCACTTAACTCTGTAAAATATTAACATTATGCCTTTTTTTCTTCAGATTTATTTATTTATGCATCCAGAACTGGGGTCCAGGCCAGAGGTGCAGGAGCAGTGAGCGGATTCACGAGAGACAGAGTGGGGAGCAGAACAGGCAGACTGATGAAGTACACTGCTGAGGGGCACAGCAGATGAGATAGAAGAGGTCTGCTGCACCATGTGGGTCACCTCCTGGGCTGGGGATCAAACTTGAGCTGAAACTCTCCTGCTAGCTTCACAATGCTGCACTTTAACCTGTTGTACCACCAGGGAGGGCCCTTTTCAGATTTTGGAAAGAAATGAGACACTGATCTAGTGGAGACTTACAATATAGTCTTCCCTAATTCTTTTCTTCAAAAATAGTTACTATAATGAATTTGGTGTTTATCATTCTCATGCCAATTTTATTTCTTTAAATATACTTCTATATATTCATAGGTGATAGACAATGTTTTGCAATTTAAAAACCTAAAAAAGAATGACATACTGTATATATCAATCTATAAATTGATTTTCTAGTTTAGCATGCTTTGGAAGTATACTTAATAATATAAATTATTCAGTTATTCAGCTGGCTTAATTGCTATAAAGTATTCTCAGTTAGGAAGTCTAACACCACTTCTATTACAGATAAGCATTTGGTGGGATGTGTGTTATGTGCACTTTGCTGAGTTGAGTCTCCATGGATGTCACCAGATTCCTGAAGAAATCTTTTTGTGTGTCATCCTCTCTCCAAAGTTGAGTTACTGCCATAGAACAGTTCTTAACATTTAAACATATTTAAAAAGTGGACTCTAAAGGTCAATGATTAAATTGGATTTGGAACTTACAGGACTAGAACTAGATACCTGATCTAATCAAAGTCAGAGTGGGACCAGCCAGGGGTTTAAGTGTAGAAGAAAGTGGAAGATGGTGACTCTCTGATCATATGAGCGACAACTCTTGTTCACTATTGTAGTCCTAAATTTTTTACACTGCAGGAACATTAGGGTGGTTTATCAAACTAGGGAATTGTGGAGGATTAAAAAAAGGAGATGGTAATGGTGATTGTGGTAAAGATGGGTGAGGTGTTGAGTGGGGAAAAGCTCCTGAGTTTTTTTTTTAAAGATTATGTATGCATACAAAAACTGGGATACAGGTCAGAGCTGTGGGGGTGAGAGAATTCACCAGAGAGTAGGCAGATGCAGTGAAATACACTGCTGAGGGGAGCAGTGGGCAAGACAGGAGAGGTGTGCTGCGCCATGTGGGTCAGCTCTTTGGCTGGGAATAAAACTCATGCTGCGGTGACTGCAGATCAGTTGATAGTGCTGTGCTTTTACCTGCTGTGCCACCAGGGAGGGCCCCCTGATTCTTTCCTGAGGACACTGTGCTGTTGTCAGATGGGTCTCTGTACTGCACCAGTGTTGAGTACATCACACCACAACCCTGCCACTAGTGTGTGCACTTGCTGCATCTACACTGATCAAAGAGTCAATTAATAGCAGCTAATTTAATACAGTTTATTCTGTGCCAGGTTCTGGTTAAGTACTTTATAATATCTCTAGTCTACTTGTAACAATCTTCCTTTAATAAAGAAATTGAGGGGCCTCCCCTGTGGCCCTAAGGGGTTAAGTCTCAGCACTATGAAGCGATTGGCAGCCACAGCAGCAGTTTGATCCCCAGCCAGGGACTCACATGATGCAGCAGACCTCTCCTGTCTCCCCTGCTGCTCCCTCAGCAGCATATCTCAGTAGATTCTCCTGTTCTGCTCCCTACTCTGGTCTGGTGAATTCTCTCATCCTCCCACTTCCTCCACTTCTGGCCTACACCCCAGCTCTTGTATGCATAAATAAATAAAATAAACCTTTACAAAATAAAGAAATTTAGTCAGTCTGACTCCAGAGCTTTAGTTCCAAGGTACACATGGTCTTTGATCTTTCTCTAGTAGTGCTTTTTAAAGTTATAAGAAGACCTTTAACAGTCCATAATTCATGGATAAAATACGTTTAGTTTCTTAAGAGGATTTGCTAGTTGGCAAAGAACAACAAAATTATTGTTCAAGCTATTTTAGGTTGCAAGCATTATTGTTTTATTAATTGTTTCATCATGATGCACTATTTTTGTATTCTAAATGATGGTCCAAGGAAGACAATTAACTTTAATGGTGAAAACCATTTGTGAAATGGGAAAGACCAAAACTAAAATTTTCACACTGTACAGAGAAACATAAATCAGAACAGCTTTCTTTATTGGACCACCTTTCCAGTATACATGTACAATTTCAGCTTTATGAAGTGATTGGTGAATGGCTAAATGGAAACCAATTTTCAACACCAAATTTCACTATGTGAACATGAATTCATTTATGAGTTATAGATAATCAACTGTTTGAAAACTGTCATAACTTATTTCTGGGTGTAGTGTTAAAAAAGACAAATTTATGTAATTCAGTAAGTCTTTACAATCTTTAAATATTTGCATATTTCTAAAATAATACAAAAACTTATTTTGCCAAAATATACTTAGTAATATGTTCTATTTTTACTCATCGTGTCTATTACCTTCTCCCTTTCTTGATTTAGAGGGTCTGGGGCTGCCATCATGTTCCATTTGACACTGTCCACTCTCATGATGAGGTTCTTCCTCAATCCCACTCTCAGATGATTGCCCACTTAATGTTCCTTCATTCCAACTTTTACAGTTTTCCTCTGAGCTGTGTTTCACATGCAGTGTTGATTCTAAATCTCCATCATGGCTGGTTCCATTGCAATATTTAAATGCTGGATAATGCTGTGATATGAATCCAACAAATTTCATTCCTTTTTTAGCAGCTACATTAATCTGAGATTTAAAAAGAAATGGTAGAACAAATGTAAACTTCATTTACATTGATTACTTTGTTAGTTAGCTTTTAAGCTTATTGAAAAAAATCCTCGGAGTTAATTGGTCAGTAATTAAAGATCCATTCATAAGCTAATTATTACCTGCTAATATAGCATTGATCCTACAACTATGTCACACTGCCATTATGACTTCTTGAAATGGAATGTATGTTAGAAGTTATAAAAGCAGGAGACATATTTGTCTAAAAGGCTACTACTAACTGTATAGCATGTCTCTTATAGACATATTAACAATGGTCTCTATAGAGTTGAAACAAAATTAAGTACTATTCCAAGTGAGTCCAAAAAAAAAAGACATTACAAAAAATACATCTTAATTAATAAAGGAGACATTAATTTAAAAGTAAAAACCACATAGCATTGTTGCTTGATGTGAATAATGAAAAATGTTTATAGGCTAATTCTGACAAACGTGTACATATGATATGTATGCCCAACTCAGAGTGCTGCTCTTAGGAAATTTTCTGACCTGCTTATCTTGATACTTTTATCTCTATGGGCCAAATACACATGATTAGATCTGATCCTATCAGTTAAAGAAATGACATAATACCAGTGAAAGAAAAATAATTTTAGAATTTAACAAAGGTTATTTTCATAGTCAGCACTTTTGCCATTCTCTGTTTTTTCTTAATTGCTCTGTTCGTTGTGAGCTTATGCATTTCTCCCGTGTTCAAGTGGTGATTCTTTTGAGGACAGGGGCTTATCTTGGTATTGCACTGTGTTGTGTCTACCAGCATTCCATAATTAATTACTGATTAAATTTTAAAAAGAATTGGCAACATGTCTTATATGGTCACTGTTTTAAACATTTACATCAAATGTTTTAAATGTTACCTGGGAGGGGGAGAAAGAGTAACGATGGAGATTGCAGATATAAACATCTTCAGACAGACATGGCATGGAAGTGACCAAGAATAAGTGGGGCACACCATGGAGCAATGCCCAGTCAGGGGGCGTAATTCTGCTCCAGCAGAAGAGGGGGACCCAGGGTAGAGCAGAGGGTTTAAGTGTGTGGAATGAACACAAAGGATTTGGACTGATACAATGATGTTTACTCCTATGGTGAACACATGGTGACTGTAACAATGCATGGAGTCTTAAAAATAACCACAAATTGTCCTTTATATCCGGCATCCTGAGAGAAGCAAGAAGGTGCTAAAGAGGTGTGATATTCTGCAGTGAATGGGTGAATTTATTATCAGTACTTTCTCTAGGTCTTACCAGATGCTTTGGGTGAAAAAACAAACAAGGTATTTTTCTATTACAAAGCTTTATCTGGAAACACCTTGTTACAAATAGAATAGAAATGTCTTTCCCATTTTTTTAAGTTGGAAGAATGGTATTTTTTAAAAAATGTTTTTATTTTAAGATCTTGGGGAAAAACTTATAAATTTAGTTTTCAAAGCAGAGCAAACACTGATAAAATGTTACGACAGGATATAAAATCTAGCAACAATCAACTCCAATGACAAGTGTTCAAAACAGCATTTGGCATTTATCTGCTGCACTTCTCACAACTGGGCCCTGTTCAAATATTTCATGTGTTATGTTTCCTGAAGCTTTTCTTTTCATGAAATAACCTCATTACTCTAATTGCTGAAATAACAATACTTTCCTGTTTAAGTAGATCTCTAACTGTATCCAGGAAGCAAAATGCAAAAACAAACACTGATGGTGATCTGTTAGTGCTAAATTAGTACTTATATTTTTGTTTCCAAAAGAAACTTTCTAGGGTAAATTTATTCCCAGAAGAAAATTGGAAATTTCCCAGTATAGTAGTAGTAAACAGTACGTGTATTTTGTTTATAAAAATCTAGCCTAATCTATCCTTAAAAAATCTTATTGGATGGTGACTTTATATATGAGTGGGAAATACGATTAGCAGCAAGAACAGGTAAACAAAAACCACAGGTTACTTTACATACAGTCATTTAAAACTTGGAAACAACAATAAAAATGAGGAATAAGTCATAGTTTCTTAAAAAGAAATACTTTATTTTTTTAAGCATGTATATTTAAATAAAAATCAAACTGTACAAATATGTCAGTGCAACTAAAAAAAAATACTATAAAATTCCAACGGGGGAGGTGGGGAGGAAGTGCAGGGGATTATGGTGATGGCACACTGTGACTCGGTGATGGGAAACCGGCGGGGATTACAATTGAGATGGAAAAAAAAATGTACAAAATGATGTAAAAATCAACTGTTATAATATATATATAGAGAGAGAAAAAAATAAACTGTTATAAAATAAAAAAAATTTAAAAAAGTAAAAAAAATACTATAAAATTCCATCGGTTTAGAATACACTGAATGTATGTAAGTATGAATGAGCAAATGAAAGAATACATAAATGCATACTTTATTTCTTGGATGATATATCAATGTCCATATGTTATTGTATTTTCCTATATAAGTTAGTTGTATAGAACTTTTTAATCTTGACAGCTAATATGGCTGTCATGTTTAATGGCCAATAAATTACTTCTTTGTACTGATAGACCATTGCTTCCTATTCAGTTTCCAGTTATTGGGAATACAGCCCTTTATATTTATTGTTGATTAAAATATCTTAAATAAAATTGACTTTTCCCCTCTTCAGTTAAAATTTTGAAATAGATTCCTAAAGAGGAAATGACAGTGCCAAAAAATGGTATTTATGATTCTTATTATCAAGTTGATATCCAGAAACACTGTACTAATTTATTACAATGCCATTTGCAATATGTGTGTTCTTTTTTTGGAAGTAGTAGTTTTTTTTTTTTTTTTAAAGATTTATTTACTTATGTATACAGAACAGGGGTTCAGACCAGAGGTGCAGGGTATGAAAGAATTCACCAGAGACAGAGTGGGGAGCAGAATAGGAAGATGGACTGAAATATACTGCTGTGTGGAGCAGTGGGGGTGGGGGATCAGGAGAGGTCTGCCACCCCATACCATGTGGGGATTGAACTCTTGCTGTAGTGGCTGTGATAGCTTCCTAGTGCTGTGCTTTAACCTGTTACACTACCAGGGAGGACCTGCAATATATGTTTTCTTAAAACTCAGCCAATACTGGATTTAGTACTTACAATTTAATTTTTCAGTAAACATTGGTGAAATTCTCAGCTTTTATTTGCTTTAAAAATTATTAGTCTATGGCCCTCCCTGGTGGTGCAGCGGGTTAAAGCACAGCGCTAAGAAGCTAAAGCCTCTTCCACATGAGTTCGATTCCTGCCTGCCCCAGAAGTGACCACATGGCGCAGCAGACCTCTCCAGACCTGCCCATTGCTCCCCTCAGCAGTGTATTTCCTCGATCTGCCTGTTCTGCTCCCCACTCTGTCTTTGGTGAAGCCTCTCGCCGCCCCTGAGCCTCTGGCTTGTACCCCAGTTCGGTAAGCACAAATAAATAAATCTTTAAAAAAAAAACAAAAAACTATTAGTCTAACCTTTCTTGAAATATATTTTTAAAAATGATTTATTTAGTTTTATTTCTTAAAGATTTAGTTATTTACAGACTAGGATACAGGCCAGAGTTGCAGGGGTGATGAGAGAATTCACCAGAGACAGATGAGGAGCAGAATAGGGAGACTGACCAAATTACACTGCTGAAGGGAGCAGCGGGTGAGACAGAAGTCTGCTAAGCCATGCTGGCCACCTCCCTGGCTGGGGATTGAACTTGTGCTAGAGCAGCTGAGAATAGCTTTGTGTAGTGCACATAAACCTGTTGCACTACCAGGCAGGGCCCACAATTTATTTATTTATGCATCCAAGAAATGGGGTACAGGCCAGAGGTGTGGGGGTAAGAAAATTCACTAGTGACAGAGTGGGAAACAGAGCAGGCAGATGGACTGAAGTACACTGGTGAGGGGAGCAGCAGACCGGCCAGGAGAGGTCTGCCATGCCATGCCATGCGGGTCAGTTCCCTGCCTAGTATCGAACTCTTGTTGCAGTGGCTGAGAATTGCTTCATGGTGTTATGCTTCAGCCCACTGTACCATTAGGAAGGGCCCCTTAAATATCTCTTTATAAATTATCTTTCCTTTTGTATTTGCTGTCCATAGATTCTGTTTGTCTAGTCAAGACTGAACATTACCTTCAAGTATTTGTATTCATTTTCTATAATCTGAAAGTGAAGCTCTCAGAATAGGCTGTGTTTATGGAGATGTACTTCCTGATGCTTTTAAAAAAATTAGTTTTCTTAGTATATAAATTATATTTATAGACTTAAATCTTTAATCTGTACATAATAGAATATGTTGACATTTTCATTTTCTTTCAAGTTTTTAATACTTAAATAAGTACTTCTTTCTCTCACCTGAAATAATGTGGAGTCTATTTTCTGCACAATAGTTACCCACCTACCCAGCAGCATATGTTAAGGAGTGGGTGTTTGTTTGCCCCATTTCATTTCATCATGTTATTAATTAAATTTCTTATATGTTACTGATTTCTTTCTGGGATTTCCATTCCTTTTTTTTTTTTTCATTGTTCTGCATTTTCGTTTTATCTCTGTGTAATTTGGGACCATATGTGCTTCAATATGTTTTAAATTCTGATAGAATAAATCACTTATTACCTCACTGTTTTTTTTTTTAAGAAAAGAAATTAATGAAGAAGAAATACCAAATATTTCTCAATATCCCATGAAAAATGTATATATTTAGTACCTTTTCTATCAGTTCTTTTGCTACGTCATTTGCTTGTGTTTCAATAGTTAGAGGACATTCCTCAATCACAAGCCTTGGGCGTCTTTGTCCACTGGGTGCTGTTGAATGCTTCTGGCTGTAACAGAGAATATGTTCACAGTTGGGAGCCAATTGCTGATTTTCAGCTAATGTATTTATGAGAATATGAATGAGCAATTTACAAAGGTCAAAGCAATAATTTTTGTTTGTTTTTTCAAGCTTATGTAAAAATATCAGACAAATTCAATCACTTGCTACTAATTTAAATTTTCTTCATTTAAACCTTTATTTAATTTTTAATTTAATATGGAAGAAAAACTTCATGTCTGATGTCCAAACAAAGTTATGAGAAATTATTTTAGAGTGCTGTACAAAAGCACAGGTAAAAAAAAATCTAATTCAAAATGCAGATAGATGTCTTATTCCACTTTTCTGATCTTAACTCTTGCTTACTCTTAGCTGTGTCAGGGTACTACTAAGTCTGTTTGAAGTAATACTGAGAGAGAAAAAAATCATCACATGCTTTATAAGACTTGTAAGTAGGGCATAATCGTTCTACAGTGCAATAAATTGGCATAATTATTAGTAAGTTTGAACTAGTAAATATCTAATGAGGCTCCATATCCCAGAAACTTCTAAGTAGACAATTACTTAGTAGTAGTGCCCCTTAAAAGCACACCTTTAAATTTTTAAGCTTCTTTTTTTTCTTTCCTGTTTTCTCTCTGCATTTTTCCTTCTCTGCTTAGCTCTTTCATAGTTAAAATGATTATAGTTCCATCACTATAAAGATAAAACACATTTTTTACTCTGCAGGGTCTTTGAGATAATTTGACATAATTAAAAGAATTGTATAACAACTTTAATATGTCAAACTAAGACACTGGGTATGGTTATTACCTTTCTTCACTGGAAGGAGCAACAGTAGTTTGAAAACTTACAATCTAGGCTGGCAAAAATGGTTACAGTATTGTTTAGGAAAGAAGTATGGAAAAAAACAAACTAAGCTAAAAATTGGAAAAAGTCGTTAAGAAATTTATTTAGTTATTGTAAAAATGTTGGAAGGTTGCCACTTAAAATGATACAGAACAGTGCAAGAAAAGCTCAGTGACAGTGTTCTTTATTGGCCTTGTCAGCTCCTCCAGTGATGGCACTTGTACCGAGTTGCTACCCAAATCACCTACTGACATTGCTGCAGGTGCTTCTTGAGTCTTTTTCTGACATCCTCACCTAGGACCTGTTTGTCTACCAGGGGCTAGAATCAGTGAGGAGTTTTAAGTTTCCTTCTCTCAGTCTAGGCCTCATTGTTGGAAAATGCCAGCAAAGCCCAAATCCCCTAGTTATTAATTCTCATAACTTTCTTCAAAAGTTATTTTCCCTAACCATAGGAAATGACCCCTCTTAACAGCCTCACAGTACAATTGCTTTCTTGAGGTTCAGGTTTACCTTAATTTCAGGCGTGACAACACCACCCTGTAAAGGTGACTGGCTGGTAGGTGTTTGCGCTGGCCCGTGGGCTGTATAACAGGATGAATAGCCCTGACAACATATCCTTTCAGATAGTAGTCTTCCACTTTTGAAACTATATCCAGAACCGAATTTATTTTGATGACTTCTGGGTTTGATGAAGCTGAAATAGAAAAGTCAAAGATAAATTTTTACATTCACATAATTCAATTCTGCCTATTTTCTGTTCATGAATAGGAAACATGTCCATGTGATTTAATCTCAGTGTTATAGTAAAATGTACTATGTATTTTTTTTTAAAAGATTTATTTATTTGTGCATACAGAACTGGGGGACAGGCCAGAGGCTCAGGGGCGGCGAGAGGCTTCACCAAAGACAGAGTGGGGAGCAGAACAGGCAGATCGAGGAAATACACTGCTGAGGGGAGCAGTGGGCAGGTCCGGAGAGGTCTGCTGCACCATGTGGTCACTTCTGGGGCAGGCGGGAATCGAACTCATGTGGAAGAGGCTTTAGCTTCTTAGTGCTGTGCTTTAACCCGCTATGCCACCAGGGAGGGCCTGTGCAATGTATTTTTAAAAATAATACAATAGTTTATTTTTACATCATTTTGTGCATTTTTCCATCTCAGTTGTACTATGTATTATTTTGTAAATTCATTTCAGGAAAAAACAAGTGACCTTATGAACTGGCAGGTATATAAGATTATCAATATTGGGTCTTCCTGGTGGCTCAGGGGTTAAAGCCTCAGCACTATCAAGCTATCACCAGCCCCTGAGGCATGAGTTTGATCCCTGGCCAGGGTGGTCACCTACATGGCACAGCAGACCTCTTCTGTCTCACCCACTGCACCCCTCAGCAGTGTATTTCAGTAGATATGCGTGTTTTGCTCTCCACTCTGTCTCTGGTGAATCCTCTCACCTTTCACACCTCTGGCCTGCATCCTAGTTCTTGTATGCAGAAATAAAATAAGCCTTTTTTTTCTTTTTAAAAAAAGATTGTCAGTATTAAGGTAGAAATATAGGTCATAATTTTTTTCACTTAATATTTTAGATTTCTTTTGAGTGACTGTATCCTATAATCAGATATTGTAGACATATATAAGAAAAGCATTATGAACTTGATTAAGTTGACTGTTTTTATGATTCTGAACATAATAATATCAATAACTTCTTAAAAGTAAAATTCATATAAATCTAAGAAAAATGGGAGAAACGGCATTCGTTAAGCAAGAATTGCTGAGTGCTTCCTTATTTCAGTTGACTTCAAAAGTGCTGTTTTAAGTTGCTTCAGGAATCTAAAAATATAATTTCTTATGGCACTTGTATAAATATTTGTGTAAAAGATTTGAAAAAGATACCCAGAAGTTCTTAGACTTAATAGACTCACTATCTAGAAATACACCTGCAAGTTGATTATCTCTTGCCTTAACACAATATATGACATTACTTCCAGGTATGGGGCAGTGCTGGCTCTTGGCCTATCAGTGTGGTTAGTTTTGCCTGGGAAAAAACTTCTAGTTGCTTGAACACAGGAAGGAGGTTAGGAAGCAGATGAGGAAGACGGGTCAGAGGAAACCCCATCTCCTCTTACTTGAATCCACACAATGGAACAGAAATCCACTGCCAGTCGGTTTCCATGCCAACTTCTCTAATGAAAACTAAAGCTTGAGGTAGAAAAGTTATAAAAATTAGGATGAGCCCATTTCCCAAATTTTCATCCTCCTTTAGATGTAAGCTGACTTAGTCACATCATTTTCTTCTTCATTCATGAATAGAAAGGAAAATCGAATGATCTTGGACTGTGAAGAAACAGCCGGGTTTCACTGTAAAACGACCTAGCCTGCCTAGATGTGTAGCAGTCACTCAGAATTCTTTTGATTCTTTTTTAAAAAATATCTTACTACTACATCTAATTTCCAAACAAAGGAACTGAAAAATTGTCAAGTAGAATAATTTTAAGACTTAAAAATGAATTATTTAAAATATATTTTTTTATACATCCTTGTTTATTTTTTCATAATATAAGGTTTCTGACCCCAGGCGAGGTCACCATAGTTTTTCCACCACCAAAGTGTCCACAGTCCTCTATAACATAGCCCTCCTTCCACTCTGTCTACTGTCTCTCTCTCTGAGTGAAAAATGACTTATTTATATTTTATTTGTAAAGATTTATTTATGCATACAAGAACTGGGGTATAGGTCAGAGGTGTAGGGGTGAGAGAATTCACCAGTGACAGAGTGGGGAGCAGAGTGGATCTACTGAAATACACTGCTGAGGGGAGCAGGAGAGGTCTGCTGTGCCATGTGAGTCAGCTCTGTGGCCAGGGACCGAACTCATGCTCCCGTGGCTGTTGATTGCTTCATAGTGCTGAGACTAAAACCCTTGTGCCACCAGGGAGGGCCCTGACTTTTTAAATTTTTTTAGAACTACACACTAATCCTATAAACTTTTAAAGAAAACTGAAGTCTTTAAATGGATCTCATTTACTTAGCATAGACATGGGAATACATCAGTTGGCACAAAAGAATCTTCAGAGTCTCTCTTCTGCTTACTTATTTAATCTTCACTCTTGTCATCCTTTCTTTCATATGTTATTTTTTCACAGTTCTGAACTATTTGGAGTTTCTAAATGTTGTTTCATACCACCAGACTTTCATTTCTTCCCTGCTCCCCAAACCCGAGTTAATAATTTCTTCCCCTATACTTTATATTCTACTAGTTCCCTTATCAGGTTGTACTATAGCTATTTGTTCACACTTTTGTCTCTGCTGTTAGACTGAAAATTCCTTAACAAGGAACCTATCTAATTTCCTATTCTATGCTTAGCATTTTTCCTTAAGTCATTATTAAAGCTTAGAAATATGAGCCTCCTAGTGACCTAGAGGTTAAGTCTCAGTGTTATCACCATTATAACCTGAGTTTGATCCCCAGCCAAGGAGCTGACCCACATGGTGCAGCAGACCTCTCCTGTCTTGCACACTGCTCCCCTCAGCAGTGAATTTCAGTAGATCTTCCTGTTCTGTTCCCCACTCTGTCTCTGGTGAGTCCTCCTGCAATCCTAGCATATACCCCAGTTTTTCTATGCAAAAATAAAATCTTAACACAGTTGGAAATATGGCTTTACAGGGGAACTAAGAGTCAGAAATTATTGCATGAAGCAGGAAAAGCCACCAAGGTTGATAGTGGAAATTAACAAAAGATAGGTTAGTAAATTCAGGAAGAATTTTAGGTTACTTTTGCCTGGTGGAGAGAGACACAATGGGGGAAAGAACACACAGGCAGGGTTGTGAAACTTGTTTGATCATAAACATGGGGGTGGTGGTCAAGAACCTAATAAGAATCCAACCAGGCAGAATTGTACATATTCAATTCAGAAAGCTTCTCTAAAGAAAAAACTTCAGACTCCAGTTTATATTCCTTTAGTTAATGATATTACAATGAGAAAGACCACACAAAAGTAAGGTTAAAAATAAGGAGCAGCGGGGTTACATGTAGTGTAATTAATTCCATCTGGAGTGAAATCTGGAGAGAAATATGGCAGAGGATTTTCCCATAGACAGAGAGTGAGTTTGTGGGGCTGGGAGAGCTTCAAGGTTTGGCTGGACTCTGCACATTGACTTGGTTGGCATCTTTGTGGAAATGTGTCTTGTAAATTATAAAATTTAATACAGGAATAAGGGGTGTGCCCTGGCATTTCACTCATCACTGTATGTCCAATGCTGGCGTGTCACTACCTGCATGAAGTTGGTTAATTTTCCATTGGCATGACTGGGCAGTCCAGACTGTGTGAGGCTTCAGTCACCTGTCTGAAAAGATTTCACTGGTAGCCTTTGGCAGGACCAAGAAAAGCTTGCAGAACGGGAGTCAGATACTTGGGAGAAAACTCCAGTATTCTTTTTAAAAAAGATTTATTTATTTTATGCATACAGACCTGGGGTTCAGGCCAGAGGTGCAGGGGCAGTGAGAGGACTCACCAGAGACAGAGTGGGGAGCAGAAAAGGCAGACTAAGTACACTACTGAGGGGAACAGTGGGTGGGCCAGGAGAGGTCTGCAGCACCATGTGGGTCACCTCCAGGCAGGGGATGGAACTCACACTGAAGCAGCTGTGGCCAGCTTGCAGTGCTGTGTCCTAACCTGTTGCGCCACCAGGGGGGGCCCTCCAGTACTCTTTTCAGAACACAATATTACCAATACTCTTGATAGCCCAAAAGGGAATATTACATGACAGAACAGCACACAAAGCCTCTTAAAGGTCTAAACAAGATACAGAATGGTCATGTCCTGAGTGTGAAGTTTTAGAAACATCTTTACTTCACTGAATGGAATGTATATATAAAACTATAAGGAAAATTTATGTTTAAAAATGCTTAAAAGAGCTGTTACCATTGGTTAAAAAAATAAAGTGATAAGTGTAAGTCATAGTTTAATCGGTGAGTTCTTTTCTCTTAGTGGAACAAAGTAATGATACATTTTACAATCAATGAAAAATGGTAAACTCTATAGCAAAGATGTGGGTGCAAGTTCATTAGCCAAGAGAATGAGGATTCAAAAAGCTCTTGGTATAAATATATCAAAATTAAAAAAAATTAACAGGGATTCTTAGTTTTTAGTTGAAAATACAGAGAGAAATGTGATTTAACAAATACACATTTGTGAAGGAAAGAGGTAACTGGCCTCTGGCTTAATAAGCTAATATGATCACACACCACTTGAGAGAAGACTGCTACCACAGGAAGCATACATATACAGACAGATGTATTATAAAGAAATGTGGCAAGATATTGGATCAGAAAAAATTTCACTTTGAATTTATTCACAAAGAATGTATGTTTGATAACCATACAATCAGAATTGCTTAGCATAAGTAGAAAGTTGTTACCTGAATAAATAGAATGAAAACACTTGCTAGATGCTAGCTCTTGATACATACTTTTATTCCCCAAAGACTGAGCTGCAGTCCTGTTTTCTCTTTAATGAAAAGGAAAATTAGCTGTTAGAGAGGTGTTAGAGATATGTTAACTTCAAACTGATGAGATGGCTGAAGAAGAATTGAAAGAGTACACATTCCTGTCCTTGAGATGCAAGGTCACACTCACAGGGCTTTATTAATAATGATTATGAAATTGTCCTCTCTGTTCTTTTGTCCTCTCTATTCTTTTCAA